ATGTGTGTGTGTGTGTGTGTGTAAAAGAATAAATTATTTGAAATCATATGTGTGTAAACTAAGAAATCATATGTCTTGTTGTATGTAAAAGAATACAATAAATTAATTATATATACAGTGGATTTAAAATAATATATGTGTTGTGTGTGCAAAATAATAAAAGAAAATGTGTAAAAAAATGCAATATACAAATTGCTTATATGTTTGTTGTGGCTATCCCACATCGCTTGATAAAGAAAAAAAATGAGGAATATAATTTATAAATGGACATAATTAAAGATACTATGTATAAGAGATTTAGTTCAGCCGACCGGTTGGTTCCTTTGAACCAAGTGGTTCCATTCCACAAAGTTACACTGTTATGGACCGAGTTGGTTCTATTTTAGTCTGAGTTGTTTTCGTTTCAACTTTTGTTTCCATTTTTGACCGAGTGGTTTTATTTTGGACATGAAATACCGTATCATTTTAACCGCAAAACCAAACCAATTTATTTTTCGGTTAAAAAAACCGAAACCGCACCGAAATAACCGCAAAACCGCAAGAAAAACCGCAAAACCGCACCGAAACAAAACCGCAAAGTTCGGTTTTTCATTATGGATAACCGCAACTTGCGGTTTGCAGTTCGGTTTGGTGCAAAAACCGCACCGAACCACACCATGCTCACCCCTACATATAACAACCAAGTTCAACATTTATACTATTTCTTTAACATTATTACTCTTGGTAATTGATCCTTGCAAATATATAAAAAAAAAAAATTCATCAATATACAATTTACTCAAATAAGATTATAACTTTTTGCAAAAGAATATTTAACAAATTTTATTATTATAAATATGGTCTTCTTATTATGACATGATTTTTTTTAGCGAACTTGATAGCTTACATACATCAAGGTCAACAGAAATGTCACTTATGAACACCATACATATTACGTAACAGAAAAGGAGGTGCATTTTCTATAATCAATATGATGACCTTTATATAACTGATATAAATCTATAATTAACAAACATGATAAAGTTAACAAAATCGATTTCCCCTAGCTAATGAAAAAGGCCAAGAGTAAAAATACAATGCGGTCTGCTAAAAAACACATCATGTTAACCTCATATTCATATTACTCGTCCTCAAAGGGATGCGTTCATTATACATACCATCTTCCTCGTCCATGTGCTTGGATACTCTCACTGGACCTGTCATTGATACACATGATGTAATTGGTTTGCACATACAGAGTGGCACTGACACTGACAATGATATGACTGATGTCAATGAGACAAAAACTGCAACTTTTTGCTGTCTCGCCCAGAAAGGTGGGACAGGGACTCACTCTCAGTGCAAAAGACAAAAGACATGAATGCCCTCATCATTTGTATATTGAAAATAGCAATAGAAAACTTGTCCAATCATGTGCCATAAAACTTTGTACTAGAAAGAATATGATGGTGATGAAAAGGTAAAGAAGCATACCATCAACCATGTCTTTGGTTTTATGAAGAAGAAAGGTTCCAGAAAGAATTGTCACAAACCCACAAAGTTCTGTTATAATTTGTGTAGGATCTTGCCCATCCCAATCCTGTTCAAACAATCAAACTTAAAAATGCTTTTAAACATATCATTTATCCAGATAACCACTTAATGGATAAACAAAGCTTAAATGATACTTGTGCAAAGAAAAAGACAAATGTAGTTAATTATTTTGACAAAGAATTACCTTGAACATGATCACACTTGCCAAGATAGTAAGAGATGTGAACAAAGCAGAACAAAGAAAAAGATGTACTCAATATGGGTGTTTTCTTTCACTTAATGTAAAAACTAAGAAGAACTACTTAATAGTTAATAGAATACCTTGTTCAAATAATTCATTTGAGTAATGATACAAAGCAGAACAAAGAAAGTAAAAGCCCATGTTTGAGGATAGACTAATTGATTCGTTCCTGAAAAAGTAAGCTTCAAAGCAATACCAAGACCTTTAACACTCATTACCTGTGAAACAAACAAACAAAAAAAAAACCCTTATATATATTCAGACACAAAGACCAAGAGAATAAACTAAAAAAAGAAATAAGAAAGTTACATACCGACAAATAACCTACTAGAGAACAAACTCCAATGTAGCACATTACATGTGTATGACCATATAACGAGATATAATATAAGACAAGTATAAAAACAGCTACAAACACCAGCACCCCATATAAAACAAAAGCTGCAAAATGAAAGTGGGAAAAATGTGAAAACTTGTTTGCATAAATGTGCATTTAACCCAAAAAATTAAATAAAAAAAGAGTGTTACCTGGCTCTGTAGCAAGATCCCATACCTCTGTGACTGATTCAATTGCGCGTTCTTGAGGAGCATGTAGAACAATTGTAATGGACCCCACAACACATAGAGCACAACCAAGAACTCCAAAAATATGCAGTTTTTCACGTAAAATTATATGTGCAAGTACAGCACTGCAATATGGCATAGGTCAGCTATATGTAGATGAATAGGTGTTTCTTTTTTACTAATGCAGAAAGAACGAATTAATTAAGGGGTTGTTTCTTTTTGACTTAATGAGCTTAATGGATTAAGCACTTAATATGTACAGGTATACATGACTGATTTTTTTACTTAATTTGGACATAATGACTTATTGGGTTAAGCCAAAAGACATGGGTGTAATGTATTAAGACACTAACCCTTTACCTATTTGCATTTTTTTTCCTTTTTCCTCCCAACTCCTCTCATAATGAATTGATTGATATTCTTAAATACTTAAAATAGATAAATATTGTGAAATATGTTTTTCGAAATGGAAGGGTAAAATGGTCATTAGGTCGTGTTTATTCAGTCTAGAAAAGAAACAGACATTATGTATACAACACATTATCCACACACACATCATTAAGGAACGGAAAAGAAAGAAACAACCCCTAAGTCCTAACTTAGGACATCCTTATTTGTATATTTTTATCTATATCTCAAATATTTTTTAAACCTGCCTGATTATAATGCTGAGTGCCCCAAGAGGAGTAACCAAAATAGCTGGTGCAAATGCATAGGCTGCAAAGTTTGCAACCTCTCCAACAACCACTGTACAAAAAGTTTGAATGAAGGTTAGTGTTTACATTAAGAATCAATATTTCAAGTAAAAAGGGTAAATTCCCCCACCAACGGGTCCCACTGCCAACATGGACAGGTAAATCATAATATCCTCAGAACAAAGAAAGTGGTGCAAACAAATAGGATACCATTATACAACATGAAATAAGAAACTCACTTGTTATCATGCCTACCCACCATAAAGGCTCATACAAGTATGAATATCCTCCGCTTCCTGAAAGAAAGAAAAAAAGGTCAAATTTTTTGGTATGTAAAATCGTAAAAGCATTATCAGAAGCAAATATTAGTAAAGCAGGAAGAAGCACATGTATCCTAAAACACCCTATAGCTTAATACTTTGAATTAGCACATTAGTTGGTTTAAGCATAAATAGCATTTTGTTTTACTTACGGATAAATGCAATAAATACTAATGCACTTCTATTTATTTGTGTCATGTAGCATCTTATATTCATTTCTTTCAAATAAAGCATGGTATTTTCAATCTTTTTCTTAGTAAGATATTGTACTCTGAAAAAATCTACACAAATTATAGCATTATTAAGATATTATACTTCGAAAAAATCTACCATTTATGGCAGTGAAAATTAACTTGTGTTTGGATGGCATTACTATAACCATGTAGATTTTTCAAAATGCAATGAAAATAGGATTTTATAGTAACCAAATAAACAAAAATATGTTGTTATTTCTTGCATTTAACCCTTTTTCTTGTATTCAAATTTAAAATCAATTTTACTATCTAAAAGACTACCATTAAGGTGAACAACCAAATATCAACTGACAACACAAATATAAAGATAAACCAACGAGGCATAGGAATAAAAAGAATTGCATCATCCATTTTAGTCTCACCAATTGAAAAGGTAAGTCTTGCAAACCGAAAAAATTGTCAACCCAAATAAGTCACAATAAATAGAAGTGCGTAATTAAAGATAATGATTTGCGTAATTGGTGTAATTACCTGCCCTAATACCAAAAGCGCCTGCTTTCTTGAGACCTTTTTTCTTAATAATAAAGCTAGAACCAATGAACAAACTTGAAGACAATGCTAAAATCAAACCCTTGATATTATCGGCGGACATACCACTGTAGGCATCCCTCCAGCTATGGGACGTCATCCAACAACAAAATCGAGAAAACCCTTTTGATTTTGCTTTCACAACTCCATTTTCTTGGTATTATGTGAGAGAGGGTTTTGGGGGAGATCTCGACTGGGTTTTGTTGGCAGGAGCTGCAGGTGTTGGCGAATGTGACGCGTGTTTCTTTGGAGAGGAGGGGTTTTGTTCGACGTCTCGTCCGCTTCTCCTTTTTGTGTAGAGTGATGATCACGTTTTGCTGGTCGGGTCCTAATCGTTCATCCCCAAACTAGAAAAGTTAGGGTTACAAACTCATTGGTATCAGGTACGACGACCGTTTATCGAAGCCTCTGTTACCTTACCTGTAACTAATTTCTAAAGCTCAATTACTCAAAATTTTATTTTAAAAGCATTCTTTTTTCTTTAAATAACTAGTAAAGAACCCGCGGCTACGCCGCTTTTGGGGTAATATGGAAAAAATCGGCCCAACTTTAAAAAATATGTGCTGAAATTGTAAATCACCATAAATAGGGGAGAAGTGTACAACGAAAAGTTGGGAAATTGGTGGAGAAAATCCAAAAATGTTGTGGCAATAATGTTAAAGTTGTCAATGTTGGGAAAATATGGTGGCAAAATTTTAAAGGAAGTTTTCTGTGTTTTTTTATGTCAAAATATAAAAGTTTTGACTACAAGGACGAAAAGTGTCAAATTCATTAAAGATTTGTG